AAAAAAAAAAAAAAAAAAAAAAAGGCTGCATTCTGCCCAACACATAGGACTATTTATAAAAGTCTCTTTTGAGCCATAAGATCCACTTGAAAATACAGCCACTGCAGGTAAAGCTAGGTCACAAATAAATTAATGTCAACAGGATAAATAAGCAACTGGTTGCACAGATTAAAGATGCATCTCCTTTTGACTAATAAAACAATGCTTTGACCCATGCAAAATTCATAAACTTCCTAAATCACAGTGCTGCCACATGGTTTAAATTTTTAATTCTGAACTGAAACTGGCTCTCTCCAGAAGTGGCATATACCTGAAGAAATATGTAGTCATCCTGCACAGTCAGGGAATCCCGATCAGTGCCACCAGCAAACTGGACTCTCATTGTCTTATCAGAACAATTTTGAATCTGGCAAGTGATGTAACGATAACCTGAGGGAAGAGAGACAGAAATGTATGACAGGGCTTTGAAGAGAAAAAGAAGCAAGCAGTATGTAATATTCATGTAGGGAAACCACTGCCTTTAACAGTTGAGTTAGTTATTTGAAACGTTCATACGAGAGCTTTTCAATGTACTAAGTACTGAGCTTATACTAACTGCTTACAGTTCAGATCACTCCTGAGAGGCAGCCACTTTTCCCAATTTTGCTCATCCAGAGAGACTGGGGATTAGACAAATGAGACATTTATGGGACAACGGGTGGAGCCTCTTCCCTCGCTTAACATATGCACAGAGTCACACTGCTTGGCTGAGGAAGTGGCATCAGACACAACACAGCAGAGATCAATAGCGCAGCCCCGGTATAAAACTCAAGGGTAAGAAAAGAACCAGACTCCATTTAATAGACAGTGCTTACAATTTTAAAGCCTATTTTGAAAGATCTGTGGCAAAGTTACTGTGCACTACTGGAACATTTCTGCTGGGGGACGACTTCTATATTAAGTGTTAATAGTTTGCTGAAAATACCTGGATTGACTTATATCAGCGAAGGCTACAGTATCTCTTCCTCTCCAGTTACCTTCTCTGCATAGACTATTAGGAAAGGGTAACTGCATCTTTGGTGCAACTTGCCCTTACTAAACAGAGGGACAGAATCAATAATTAGAGCTTACATGAGCTGTAGCACATGGAAACACATTCCATAATCTACAACTTTTCATTAGAAAAGGCCACTCCAACACGCTGGATCCAAACAGTCGGTTTAAAATCTGGACCCGTTTGAGGGGCAACAAGAGTCAGTCCAAGTTCTCTCACTACCTTCCAAATCAGCATCACAAGGATATGTCAGCAAGTACAGCAACGGGCCATCAAAACATCTTGCAGCTATTCATAATTCACATGGTAAGCACTAGAGTGCTTTGTCAGACAGGTAGTACAAAGACACTGTTTCCACTAAAATCGATGGCAATGCTTGTATTGACCTTAACTGCACAAGGTCTATGTTCTGACGACCCAGACAGGAAATAAATATTTCATGAAAGCTTTGTTGTTGTTTCTATTAAATAAAAATCTTTCCATCCTGTACTAAAGCAGTTTCTAAATTCTCCGTTTCCACTGTTTCCAAACTTGATGGGACTACGGAGGGCTCACTGAGTCCCAGAAATCTTAAATCTTTAAGAACTTTGACACCCCAATTTTAACCTGCTAACTTGTATGTTTTCTTATGGAGCTGAAAAGAAGAAATGGAAGGTGGAATACTGAATTATGCATACTTCACAACTGATGTATAAGACTGTATAGGAACTAGGTTGATCAATTAAAACATCTCTCACGGGTGTAAGAGGTCACATGAAAATACAATGATATAGGAACCTAAGTGACTATTTACTATAGCACATCCTGATTGCTGATTTTTGCTCTTGTTTTTGTCTGGTTTTCTTTAAAGTTGCAAAGTATACCGAATGTTGTAACATGAGGCAATTCTGGGAGAAGTTAGTTAGTTTAGTAGAGCTGACCTAYGCCACAATTCACTTTGACAGACATAGCCCTAGCAGTACGTTGCCAATTTTATTTGCAAATCAGGAAAAAATGTTCAATGTTTAACTGCCAGAACAAATTGCACTATTAATGGACTTTTTAAATGGAGCATAGCTTCTTGACGTCAATTTGTCTCAGAACGGAAAACAAGTAAATTTTAAATTATACTCCATTTTTACATAGCAGGACAGCTTTGCTGACTACAGATAAACAGAACAAGACTCTGATGTTCTTCTTTGGCTGTTTTTTAAAATAAATTCTAAAGTACTCTCTAAAACAAAGCAAAACGCTATACAGTAGAGTATCAATTGATAACATTTTCATTTGCATACCTCCACTGGTGTCCTGGATTTCCATATGAACTAAATCAGGGTCTCCATCAACTCCAGCAACAGCCCTGAGAACATAACATAATCAAGTTATGCAGAGCCAGCTACAGAATAGTAATTATGGAGATGGAAAAAAAMCAGAGGATTTCATACTAACCAACTTTAACATGCTAGCTAGGAAATTAAAACAAACCCCATTTATAATGTCATATTACAATCCTTCAGATGGAAAAAATTATTTGTGTTCTTGGCATTTTGTTTTTCTTTTAAAATATTTTTAGAATCTCTTTTATTGGGACACGCATACAAATGGAATTCTACTATCAATAGGAGAAAATAGAAATAGGTAGGAAATTGAAAAAGCTTCATAAGCAGATGTTGATATAAATATATACACATATGTATAGACACATAGACTGCTAAACGTTAGAACATCTTTTTACAATTAGTTTTGACATTTGAGACTCTAGAGCAGATTTAGTCCTAAAAAAGACCTTAATTACACCCTCATTAGACATTTCTTTGAAATATCTATGGCTTTCAAAAGTAATTGATACATCTTTGGTAAGTATAATCAAGAGCACCGCAGATGCTGCTTTGCCTATGCAAGAAAATGCAGAATAATTTTGAGAAAAAAAAATGAGGTGGAAATTCAGTCAGGATTGATCAAGGTGCAGTTTAACTTTAAAAAGGTGTAATGGGAGCACAGCCTGATTTCGTCTTAATATCTGCCACRTCAAAGATGCTGAGGCACGAGATGAGATTTCCGCCCCTCAGGGCCTCCATGCCGTCCTCCGAACGGCAGGCACGGCCACGTCTCATCCCGCCCGTACAGCATCATTGGCGGGGCAGGCTCTGCACAGAGAGCTCTGAGCTGACAGCCGGGCTGTCACCACGTGAAACAGAATCAGGCCACTCTCCTGTAGCGACACTGCTCCTCACATGGCTCTTCTTGCCAAAGCTGGCAAGCACAGAAGAGCCCACAGAGGCGGCAGATGTGAGCTGAAGACACATGAAGGAGATGCGCTGAACAAAAAAGTGCAGCTGGATGCTGATACTAAGAAAACCCAATAAGTACTCAGGGAAAATGATGGTTTGATGCAATTATTCATGATAAAATGCAATAAAGGCACGCGTTAGATTGGAATGACATCATTACTTCATGATTTGAAAGAGACTGATTTATGAGGAATGGTTAAAACGCGGGCTCAGTAATTGGGGCTCCTTGGGAATGCAGGCGGTGGGAAGAGACTGGATCAGTTCCTGCCGCAGAACAACCAGAAATAATCACATATGCTCTTTTTCCCTAATAAGATAAATGATCAGTTGAGGAGAGGGAGAAGGCAGGGGAGAGTGGTAAGAGCATCTTGAAATCTAGTTTTATGGAGGAGCTGAAATATCTGATACCACTCCACAGCTCAGTGCAAATACGATTCCTGCTAAGGAAATGGTAGAATCAGGAGTATATCACTGGCATATAACTTATATCGGCATTTGCCAAAACTGGCAATAATAAATTGGGATAAAGYGGGATGAGGAGGGAACAGAAATCATAAAAGCTATTTGGCATCTCAAACCAAGGCTTGTGGCATTTGCATTATTTTAAAAAATAGATAAAAAGAAGCAAAGCTGAGAGATGTGAAGCTAGTGGGTATTTCTTTTCCTTATAAATAGAATGAAAAAATCTGCAATAACTACAGAACTAGTCTCTGAAACAGAAACTACTTGAGCATTTTGGGAGGCAATACATCATGTCAGACAAGAAGTTCTACTTATTGAAGATCTGATAAGACCACATTCGAACAGTGAGAAGGATCTGTGAACTTTTTCACAGTGCAGACTGTATCTATTTTCTAGATATTCATGCCAAATCAAACCTTCTATCAACACTGCTGCCAGCTTTCCGAAGGAAGAAAAATGATGTTCAGTTGAGTATTTGGGTTTTTTTTTTTTTTTTTTGTGCTGGACCTCAGGCAGCTGAACCACAACCTGACAGAAACTTCAGGCCTGAAATTTTCTAGGGCTCAGCCTGACTTACTGATCAACATCAATAACACAGAGATGACTTTGGATGCTTTCAAAATAACCTCTTGTATTTATAATTTACCACACACCATCTCATAAGCATAGTTTGAGATATTTGTCAATAATTTTACCTTTTCATCCATTTTTCAATAGGTTAGAAATGAGTACATGCCTACAGTGATACTCTTTAACAGTTGCATCTGGCCCAGGTAGCACCATTTCCAGGGCAATCCTTTAATGCAAGAGGTCTGCGTGTACACTGAAAAGCTCCCATCTCAGACCCCTTTTCTCTTTCATATTTTCATTTAATTGGATGTGAATGAATCACAAGGAAGGTTTCCTCACACTAGCAAGAAAGGAGTAATACTTATTTTCCCCCRAAGTTCAGACATTTTCCTTGCATTTAAAACCATCCTTCGTTTAAGAGGGAACAGTTCCTTAGGGAAAACAAGCTTCCTCCACCAGCTGTATCACCTCCTGAAGATTCCCACCATTATACTGAAAGTTGAGAGTGACAAAATCAGTTTGCCAAGCAATTCTCCTCACTGCCTTTAGTCTCCCCCACTCTGTGTCCCCACACTTGCCCATTTCTCACTACTTCAGATGTCCAACGAACATGCCAGCTCCCAGGGCTGGAGATCCATCTCAAGTAACCCTACGAAGAAAGAAGCCACAGGGCTGCCAAAAGAAATGCTCATTAAGCTCTGCCTGCAGAGACCTAACTTTAGGTATGTCTGACAGGTGAGATGAACTTTGTAAGTGCACAGCTTATCTATTTTGAAATGCTCAATTTATGTAAGCAGAGTCAGGAAAAAATATTCATATTTGAGAAACATGCTGTGTTTTATATTACTCTAATTTTACAGACAAGACCCAACCACTGAGGCTCTCTGTTCACTTGCTGAAGACATTAAACCCTGAAAGTCAACGTTTGAATGSCAACTATAGAGCAGTTTCTCAACTTTTGAAGTGCTTTTTCTCAGCCTTACAAAGACTTTGGAATAGTCCCTTTTTTATTGAAAAACGATCTCATCTATTATGGCTGCTAAGAAAATCTTCAGAAGAGAGTATAACTAATACAGAGCTAACTGCCTGAGTGTGCAGAGAATTTGAAGCAATATCCCTGAAGAATAAACTAATCCATTCATTTCAGAGGACTCCTATGGCAACAGTACTTTAAATAGCCATACTTTATTTCATTTGTACGTGGAGCATGAATCAAAGGAAAAGTAGCACACTATGAAGGATTAGCACAATCTAGGTGCCTCCTCCCATGAGGTGCAGCGTTCTTAAAATGATGGGCAAAAAACGCACGTACAAGAACACACACAGTACACAAAACACTTAAACTGAAGGTCGAGCAATGTGGCTTTTTGTTTTTCATTCTGAGGGATAAATCTAGGACTTTTTTTTTTGCATTTGCATACACTAATTTATTACTGACATACAAGAAATGTATTGCACCAGTGTCCACACATCCACTCACAAATTCATCCCTGATTTCAGGAAAAAAAAATAAAAAAACATGAAAATTACAGAGAGCAGTTTCAAAAGTCAGGTTTACTGCTCCTCAGCCGGCTTTGGAAYGGGACCTCTTCCAACCGATAAAGCACAAGCACAATGGACTTGATGCGTTCTTTCTGCACATTTTTTTTTTTAGACTTTTAGAGAAATCCTCCTGGAAGATCATGCATCCGATGACCTAGTTTTCCACTGACTTTAGCAGAGTTATATCAGCATRAAGAACGTGCAATGGAGCAAACAAGCTCTCTGTGCGTGCCTTGGTCTGTATATAAATATACACTCCGTGAAATGAACATTATGTAATTTATACCTTTAAATAATGAGGCTACAATTCTAAGCATTCCTCTGCAAGAATTCCAATTATCAAATCTTTTGATTTTTTGACAGTCATTTTGCTGTTATGTTTGACCTCTCTTCTTCACAAACTGCTCCACCGTTTTCTTCAGTCCCATGCCACATTAGAAATACACCAATGCTCACAAAGAATTTGATATGCTGTATATCTGTACATATGAACAAAAATTACCACTGATGTGTAACACTATTGTCTCAAAATGTGAATCAGAAGAATCAATCTCTTGCATAATAATTACGATTTCATATTTTATTTCCATGCAGAAAACACTTCAGTATTTCCAGGATTCTGGGCTCATTTTCAGGGGAGCAATTACCCCCAAACACTAACAAGGAGAGTCTACTGCAGATTAGGTATCTCTTTCTCTTAATTAGGTCCCTTCCTTGTTAATTATTTGATCCAGTTCACTGGAACACATGCTGATTAAAAGATACCTTTAAAAATACTATCTGAAAACAGCAAGAACAGACCACCCCACTCCCTGGTGTGCAGGAGTTTCCCATCAAAGGCCACCTAAAAACCAGCAGCTCTCTGTCTGGCTTTCCTATGGTCTCCTGATGTGAAGGTTATCCAAAAGGTACCAAGTGCCGAGTTTAGACTGAATATTGATTTCCAATAATTCACATTACATCTTTAAGGACACCACTCTGCCTAGAAAGCAAGACAAAAYCATGTTATTCTTGGCTTGCTATAGAAGAGCTTGACCAAACGAYACTGTTGCTGCACAAACGAGCAAAGAGCATCAAGAGTTTTTTAAACCTCTATTGCAAATGTTTCCTCTCACTAAATTAAAATGACATTGACTGTTGGCAATCTGCTTACCCAGGGAGACAGAGCTGTACCTTTGACAATACAGTCCATGCTCCACACAGCCAGTGTGTGCTGTTCCTTATTTACCCCCTGCCCTGTGCCTAAATGGCTTTTTTAATAACAGCATTCTTTGGGCAGCCTGTTCCCAATAGCAGAGATGGAGKGTTTTCTGCTATTGATCACTGTACAGAAATAGACACAAATATTATCCTAAGTGATTAAGTCAAACATAAGAACGACTGCCCGCATGGATTCTTGCCTTCCCACACAAGAGCCTTTCACACAAAATTCACTCTTAATGGCTCAATGAAATCCTCTTTCCATCTCTCCTCTCCCTTCAGGGCATAACATCTCTGCAACCCACTCCTTCACCTGACACTTGAATAGCCAGGAACTCGCTGTGCTTGACATTAATGGTTCCAGCTGTGATTGATTACTGGGGTGGGATTTCATGATGAGAACAGAACTATGGTCCCCYGAGTACAAATGCTCTACCCAAATAAACTCATCATTTTTTTAGTTTTATGTTTCATCTCTCATGAAAATGGAGAGGCTGTATCTGTAAATGAGAGATATCTATAGCACAAGATCCACATACTCTCGTGCACTGAGGATAAACTGTTTCTAAGGCTCTGGACACAGTCGTAAAGAAAATGTGCTGGCCCTAATTCTCTGGTAATTACTGATTCCTGCCTTGCTGGTATATTTGCACTTGATTCACAATCTATTCTTCACTTATATATTACTAAGCTCTATTTTGAGAAATCAAAAGGAATTTAACTGGTGCATAAGCCTTGGGGATTGAAAAGAATAGCAGCAGGGCCAGAAGAATCCCAAATTACAGATATTTTTTCCCTCTGATACACTACTTTTTTATTAAATGGGCTTGATATATAAAAGCAATTACATACTATCTGAAGTGTGGGTGCCTAATGTTTGGCAGGGAGAGGTAATATAACTCTATTTCTAAAGCAATCTCTCCTCATTCCCTCCTACAAATATGCTAAGAACTGGAGAAAATAAATGCTTATAAAGGTTAGATTTTGTAACACCACTTACATAGAAATCATCATATTAGGGGCAATACCGTTTGGTAGGTTGCAGTTCATGTGCAGCACTTACATTTGTCCATGTATCCAAATTCTCTTTAAAGCATAGCAATTTGCCCCAAATTGAAATGTTTCACCAAAAAAAAATTTTTGAAACTTTCCAAATAATGTTAATAAAGAAATAGAAGATTTTATGAATATTGATACAAAAATGAATGACCCATATTGACTGATATTGTTACCTACCACTTGACCAAACATTTTTTATTTGTTTTGAAAACATAAAAGAAAAGTTTTTAAATGAAAAATGCCTGAGCTTTTACTTTCAGTACTTCTACAGGAAAGTTTTCTGAACTATTTTTTTTTCTTTATGTTTTGAATTTTCAAGTTTCAAATTTCARGTTGAAAGGAATTTCCAAAAGAAATGGAAGTTTTCCAATCATCCTTACATCTGTCTGCAGATTTATATCCCTTTTGGTCCAACCTCCTAAGACTCTAACAGAATAAAAGACTATCTGGAAGGATTAGTTGAGTTTCCTTTGCAAAAGAATAAATAAGTTGATAGTAAGAATGTGAGAGGCAGAAGATGCCACTCTAAATCAGAGAGGGGAAGAGAATATTTTATGTTCCTAAAACCAAGATGACAGTAGACACTAGTAGACACACTGACATCACTAACCTTTCAGTTAGTTACACTATCTTGAAAGACTGAATTTCAGAAGTTGAATCTGCAAATAATGTAACGAATGGTCCAGATCTCTTGAAAAGAAAAGAAAATCTAGAAGATTATTTGAATATATTGCTTATATACAAGCAGTATCTCACAGTACATGAGCTAAATGTGAATCCTTCAAACTACTAAAGTCTTATTGACCTTCCCAGCATATAAATAGACGTTCAATTAAATTGATTGCATTCATATTTCCAGTAAGGAACAGAAAAGGCTTTTTCAGGATGTGCATGAAGATCTGGCTGATGCTAGAGGCCCAGGAGGAAATTGTTTTAAAAAGAGCCCTGGAAAATATTATGATGGATTATATTTGTAGTTACCAGGCTAAAATAAAAATCTGAGGCTAGATCATCAACTAGTATATAATGGCAAAGCTCCACTGGCATCAAAGAAGAAACATCTGCCCAGTGAAATGTAATACTTAAAACAGGCCAATATCAGCAAGTCATGTTACTCCATTTACAGAAAAACGGGCAATTATTTGGGATTCATTTCACCTCTCTCTAAAGCATCAGATATTGCATACCTTCAAGAAAAGAGCACAGGACTGAGCAGCAAGCTTCCTAATAGCCAAGGTATGAGAAAGTCTGTAGTTTTACACTCACTGAAAATTGCACTAATACTTGTTTCTATCTAGAAACACGTAGAAGATGAAGGCCACAGAAAAGTAGAAAATTCACATAGCCACAGTACCTTCCATCACAACAAAGGTCGAACCTTCCACTCAAAGCTGGTTTTGTAAAAGCTATATTGTGATGTGGAACACCACATGGTAATAGAAGAAAAAGGTATTATAATTGTTATTTCTCTGGCTTTTACAAAGCTTAAAGGAATGATCATTTGGCACTGATGAGGTACTAAATTCTTGGCCCCAAATCCTTGGTGTGGCTAGCTGTTACAGTTCTTGATAGAAATCAAAGAAAATTAGGAAACAGGAACCTAGAAAATATTCCTAACTGATGTAAATGCACAAACTRTTATAGTCTGTTAGTCCTACTTCATTGGAATGTGAAGTTTATGAACATGATTTTGAAGCAGTAACATTTAAAAAGAGACACACAGACAGAATTGCCTCGGTATTTCCTGGAGACAATTTTGCCAACGGTGCAACCAGGGTCCTGTGCTCACAGCTCTGCACAACGGGGAGAACCCGGCACATCTCAACCTGTTCATGTGCCACTGCCACCCTCCTGTCCTGCTTCCCCAGGAGCTCCACACGCACCACTGTGTATTTGCACTGGTTGCAGTATTGTGTATTTGCCCTGATACAACACACTTTGGGCCACATACAACACATTTTGGGCCATGCATTGTAACAGCAATGTGTACTTTATAAAATGCAACTTCTACATCATTGGTCTGCTTTGGGGTGTTGTATCTTTGCCTTCTGCCAGGATGATTATCCTGTTCTACTCAAGTGGATAGCAACTGCCTTAGGAACATAAACAGCATGAAAGCCAAATATGTAGCAAATTGGGCAACTGAAATAAGGTAAATCCGTTCCAGAACTGGCCACACCACTTGGCAAACTACAAAGGAATGCCAGAAGCCAGACATAACTCCACAAACATACCAATAATTGCACTTGATGTAATTAACACATATTAGAGAGAGCCTCTAGAATTAAATTTCACATCAAAATAAGTGTTGTGCGTGTAAATTGACCACTTGAAAAAATTAAATTAAGTAAAATCACTGGCATAATAAAAGTCTTAATTTGAATTAAAAAATTTACACAGTGATTTACAGTGCAAAAAATTGCCAAGTGATTTCATTAGTATGAAAAAAAAAGCATTTTTTTTCTTTGAACACCTTTTAAGCCTTCAAACATCACTTTGTAAACATTTTGAGAGACTGGAAAATATYTGAGATGAAAATAAGATCATATCATGTGTGTGTGTACTCCATAAAGCTGTATGMGTACATTTATATATGGCTGTAGTCAATGTGTCTGATTCAAATCTTCTTAATCTTCAAATCTTCATTTTACAGATTTTCCTCTGCAAAAAGACTGTTCTCTTTTCTAATGATGAATTTTACAAGCAAAAGAAGGAGCAACTTCACTTAATATTTAAAGTTCTCTGAATTTGAGGACTATAGACCCCAAATAAGAACAAATCTGCTATAGTGGATGAAGGAATGCTGACATGCTGGCACTGCACTAGTTGCCAAGGCTTCTACAGTCCTTATCAATAATTCAAAAAATACTGCAGTTGATTAGAATCAAATACTTTTACTCATCATTTTATTTGGAGAACAAAATGCTTCTTACCAAAAAATATGATCTTTTGAAACTCGCTCCTGCAGCAGGATCCACTTTTTCCCCAAGTCGACAGACACATAAACCTTCAAAGGAAAAGTAGAAAAAAACGAAATAAAAAAAAAAAAAAAGGAAAAGAGATGAAGGGAGTGAGAAAAACAATCAGATGATGGGAAATTGTTCATCACGTTCTTCTTAAAAGACAGTGCCACTACTAAGTTACGGACTCCACACTAATAAAAAATAAAATCATTTCTAGGAATCCTTACAAAGATTTTCAGAGTAATAGCATTTTTTTTTTAATCAACGAAACACAAAGTTTTTTTAATAATCTACTAAAAAGAAAAACTCTGTTACAATGTCTTCTTTCCTGTGAAAACAATGCACAGTTCTTTTTGCTTTCAAAAATCTTTCCAAAAATAAAAGATTCTTTTAAAAATCTTYTTAGATTCATTTTGAGCCTGGCCTATTTAGACGGAGGGTACAAGGACCTTTCCTTTGCCTTCAGTGACCAGTGACCTTTGCAATCCATGACCAGACAAGCTCAAATGCTTTCCATATCCCTTAATGCAGTCAMATATACTTAAGCCAAACCATCAGTTGAAGGTTCAAATAAACCAAAAATACTAAAGAAAGGCTTAAGAGATTTGATGGGGACAGGCATTTATAGGGCGATATGGAGAGAGTTGCTTGATAGACACCCATTTGTGTCCCCGGAGAAAGGGTCACTCTGCGGAGAGGCAGAAGTTGGCCAGGAGGAAGTGGAAGACTGTGGTTCCACCTGCCTCTAAGTGCTTCACACCCACCAAAAGCAGAATGTAGATGACAAGGTTGGATATAGACAGGGCAGGTGAAAGTTTTCCCTGTAATAAAGCAAGATGTGAACTGCTATTAAGAAACCTCCCTCCTTCAGTGTCTGCCTTTATAAAGTGTTTCTTCCACTAAAAACAGCAGATATCTACCAAAATCATGAAAAGGCAGATTTAAASCATTCTGCTGTCTATATGTATTGGTTATTTGGTAAAATTTACATAAAATGGGTTTTCCCTTACCATCTCCAGTAGGAAAACAAAAATAAAGCATTAAAACTATTTCACTGTGATGTGATAATAATTCACTTCGTAAGTGATTGTTTGAGAGGGTAGCTCTTATAAGAACTAGCAAAAAAAATTGTTGTTAACTGGACAGGCTTAATGACAAATGAAAATAAACCTATTACGCATTTCATTTTGCTAGAGACAAGCAGCAATATTTAATAGGTAAAGATAAAGGATGAGGCAACTTGCTCAACATCTCTTCAATGAATAATTCTCTATAATTTTARTAGTTGTTTTAATTCTGTTAAGTACCACTCATGCAATAAATGTATCTAGTTACTCTTTAAAAAAAAAAAAAAAGCACGACTCGAATCTCTTTTGAACTTCCAAACATTTTATATTTGCTGTATTCCTGTCATAGCGAATAAAWGATTGTTATTCTTAATTATTGGGGTAGCTGGAAAAAGAAAAGTATAGATTTGAGATAGTAAAAAGATTAATCAAACTACATTGACTGAATTTGCATTCATTTACAGTGTCAGCTAGAGGCCAGCGCTCTAATGATATCTACGGTTCTGAATGAAAGAACATTGCAGATTTAGCAATGTAAAGTAAGCACTAAATCAAATCAGAAGTTGTGAGAAAGGCCATGATGTTCCAGTAGATGACAACGAAGCCTTCAACTGCTATTTATTTAGCCTTCCTTGCACTAATATTCATTCCTTGTGCTCTCAAGAGCACCTTCATAAGAAATTATTTAAGTAGCAGGAGACAATAGCTTGTGCTAAGGCTTATATCATGTTGCTTTTAGATACTGCTAATTTCATGTAAAGCTGGTTAACTTGAAAATCTGGACTACACGACCCCTTGGCCAAGTTCAGATCAGCATTATCTCTCAAGACCATTCATTCCAACAAAGTGGAAGGAGTCTTTTTTCCTCTCTTTGCTAGGCCAAATATTCCCAGTAAATCTTTAAGGTCATCTCCTTCTATTATGTGGAAAGACTGAGAATATAATCCCAAGTAATTTTTGAATAAATTTGACTTTTTATGATTTTCATTCTATTTCTATCCCACAGGCTTAATTTCAGCTTAAAACGGGAGAACAGACAGAGAAGAGTCAGAATCACTATAATGAAAACAATCACAGTGAGTTTACAGTTCGGTTTTGCAAGGAGTTACATTACACTCCTTCAGGAGTATGTGCTCAGTGTTCCCATGTTTAGCCTAACAGATTCAGAACATTGACATTGGTCTTTATAATTTAATTGGAAACAAGCTGAAAGATACTCAAAACCTACAAACAACATGATACAGTTTCTGAATCTGAATTTAGTATGAATACTCAGTGTGTGAGACAATTTATCTGTTTTTTTTTTTTTTTTTTACGGAGATTCCATGATTCCTAGACTCTTCTTCTGCTGTACAATCAACCAGAAGTTTAATTTATTTCACGTTAATGCACATCTCCAAAAAAGACTTTTGAAAGCAGTACTTCAGATTCATAAACCTTTTACTACACTGAAAATTAAAGAGCAATCACTTATGGTCATGTTCTAGGAAGGAGCACATTTCAAATACAGTAGTTAACTGTGTTATGATGTAGCAGGAACATTAGCAAAATCCAGGTCAGCTGGAAATGCTAGGATGGAAATTACTGAAAAACAAACAGATTAGAGATACAATAAATATTCAGATAAGCTTCTAAAAAACCTGAAGATGGTTTTCCTAATGGACAATTGATTTCATAATAATATACATAATTTATAAAACTCACTAGTAATCAGCATATCACAACTGTTTTATATCACCTTAAAGAATTAAGGTCCAAATGTTGAAAAACATATAGTATCTCTGAGCTTTACCTTGCCTTCTTTGGTGTAAGCAAGTACTTTGTCTTCTTCTTTGGGGTGAAAAAGGAGAGTTTCCACAAAGAAATTAATGGGCTGTTTTTGGAAAGTGGCTCCTTCATCCGTGCTTATGAAAAGACTTTGATCACGATCATTATGGGAAGAACTTACAAGAATTATCTAAAAAACAAAAAACAAAACATAATGTAGGTAACAGACTTATTTTTCTTGTGTAAATGTCAGATTTTGCACATACATTATTTGTATGAATTCTCCAGACAAGAGATTCAAAAATATCTAAGAGATGAGAAGGACATCTAGGTCTTACTCATCTTCCTTCACCAAATTTGAGAATCTTAAACTCTTTATTTTCTCTTTCAAATCACCAAATTGACCATGGTCCTCACCTCTACTCAAAATTATTATTTGTATTTGGTCCTCATGCAAAACTCAAGAAACCATGTGCAAAATTCTCAAGGCTAATAAGGAGTTGACACTAGTAAAGATTTTTTATATATATATCCATATAAATAAATCACTTCATGTGAGGCTGCTGTTGAGAAAATTAAATCTAAAAATAATCACTGCTGTAGTGATTAAAAGAATCACCCAAGAGAAAGAATCGGCCTAAAACATGATTCTGTTGCTACACCATTCTTCTCCTGCTGACACATTTTGGATAAGATGGCAATTTACTTTGATGCAGAAAAATACGTTAATCCTTTATTTGTGTTTCCTTTCATTTAATATCTTGACTCAAACAAAGCACTGTCCTTGTGGGGACTTCCTGGCAGGCTTTCAGTAACAAAGACCTTCTCCTCACATAACTTATCAGTCATAATTTCTTCAACTTCCTCACCCTTTGTGGCTTGCCACTGCCTTATAGCGTGGTTCTAAAAACGACACAGCGAGGATCCTCTTTTATCATCTTTCCAGGACTAGTTTGCAAAGAGAAAGGTGCTTTTATATTAGCCTACAAATACAACATGTATTTTCAAAGGCCACCTGGGCTTTTTTTGGCTCACATTTAATAACAATAAAAAGGTGCTGCAATCAAAATGCAATTTAAATATTTGATAGATGATGCAAAAGACACTGTAAGATCTCAATCACTCTTCTACATAGTGGCTGTAAAGTATTACAGATATAAATAGCATCCGGTTATTGCAGTAATATAAACATGTATGTTCAAATACATTAGGCAAAACAGAACATTTTTAATGTAATTACTGTATTGAGTATAGTTGAAGCTGAAAAAAATGGCATTTCTCATGAATTATGCAGAGACAACAGCTGGATTGAGTTTTTTCCGCTMTTACTCTTTAAAAAAATAAAAAAACGTAAATACAACATTTGTAGAATGACACCCTCATAAATGCCATATCTTATTTCCGTTGCAACTAACAGCTTCTTTTTTTCTTACKAAAATCTTCAAACCACATCTGTTTATTTGTGTATGCAGCCCAAGTATGTTGTTCATGGCCCAGATAACATCCAAAGTGCATTTCCTACACGATGCCCTTGCAGGAAGCAGTTTTGCTCAGAGGGCACAACGCTACCCCCAAATTCAGCCTAACCACGAGGGGCTCCTTGCATCGCAAGGTGGAGAGGACTGCCCAGTACTTCCCCCTGCCACCCTTCCAGCTGCAACTTAGGCACAAAACATCAGCATTTTTCTTGCAAATAAATTAATTCAAGCTGTCTGCTTGCTGACTGAGCTCTGCTGTGCCAGCTYGGATTACACGAGCAAGGACCTGGTCCTGCGTGAAGGGGCCAAGTGGCCTCCACAGGGTGGCTGCCCTGGAGCTCACAGAGAAGCTTGTGTCCAGACACATCCTTGCATGCGAATACGTGGTCACGCAGGTTGGTCACGAAATTCATGCTCAGCTTGCAGCAATTCCCTTGCTCGCAAGTGTTGGAACTAAGAGTAGCATGTCACTGATTCCATAAGGAAACCTTGATACCTTTGGATCTTCTCTCTTCTAGCCCAAATAAACGTTTCAGTGTTATCATCTTGATTCTCTCCTGTTAACATCTTTAAAAATGCATACAGCTGAGGCAACGTATCAGCACGCCAAGTCCCCTAGAAAACGCACGGATGGCACATGAGTGGAATGGTAACCTCTGGACTACAGTGTCATTCTCTTGCATTCTTTCCCTGGCTTAAAGTACTTTAGACTTAAAAAAAAAAWWAAAAAAATAAAAAAATAAAAAAATTGGGTGTTCAATATAATTAATGCATTAAGTTTATAAATGTGGGAGTGTTTTTCATTGTTAATGAGCCAAGACCCAAAAAATGGATTTCAGAAAACAGAAATAAATGCAAGGTAGCGCTCACTCAGTAATACTATTCTAGAAACTGAGATCGTAGGCAAAATGTCAAATATAATGAATGCAAACACACTGAGATTTGCTAACAATGCAGTTAAAAACCGGGCTATGTACCTTTCAGCTTAAATCTCAGAGAAGTAAGTTAGCCTAAAGACTGTAGAAATCGAAGCATACATGGCAGAGCCCCTAACTATACTCTTATCCACACAGGTATCATACTTCATTTAATAAAATATTTTTGAATTTCACTCAGTGTTCTGATTTATATTTCAGTAGTTTAAATTGATCATTATGCACCAAGCATACAGATTTGTTTCCCACAGCTAATACACTCGTTGCTCAGACTTGCCCACTGGCAAACACTACTTATGGAAGAGAATACTCCAGAGTAAATACTGTACCCATGTTAAAAGCTCTCTATAACAAGTTTTATTTACTCTGTAAGGAGAATAAGCAGTAAACCTTCCCACTAGCAAGACAGCTTGTGACTAATGCAGCGATGGAACTAGGACATACTAAGAGTGACTAACAGTGATTGCGGAGGGTTTTAACTCAAAATACATAACTACTTGCTTGAGTGATTTTGGCTTCAAAAACGGGAATAGATTTTCATCACATCTAATCTTCCCTTAAACTTCTAAACAATTTTATTTAACATTCCCCCCTCCTGTCAGACTCTAAAAATCTAAAAACTAATTTTGTGTTACGCAGCCTCCCTTCTTAATCTCCCAGCAGTTAAATAAACCACAATGGCAACACACAATAGTGTGTATGTTCAGATCAGATGTGGATAAGCAACAGTTAAATGGAAGTAGAAGAATGTTTCAAGAACCTATGCTAAGGAAATGAGAATGAAAAGGATATGGTACATATCAGTGGGAAGTGAGTAAAAAAAAATCTAGTAGAAATTAAAAATACTACACCATGTATATATATATATATGCATTCCATATATATACATATAYGTCTATATCCCTATATGCATATATAGGCATGTAAAGAATCCCAGAAAAAAAAAAATCAAAAAAAGCCATGGAAAAAAAAGAAAAGCTGATGAAAACAGAAGCCAAATAATTCCGGAGATAACGTGATTAAACCCAACTGCTTAATCTCCCCTTCAGGACTGACTGGTAAATACGTATGTCTAACTATTCCTTCTACTGGTGGAACCCCAGTCAAACTGAGCCCCAAAAGATAAAATGAGTCTGACAATTTAGGCTGCCAAGCCTTAAGTACCATACTTCCTTTTCCCTACTATTGTCATGAACAACTGAAATAATTATATTGATTACTGCAGATCTTAACTGCAGATTTGCCAGCAATTCAAAGCTATACTGTAATTTCAAGTGGAAATAAACACAGAATATTACCATGCATCACTAGCACAGAATATTACCAGATCACTTGCACCCTCTCCCCTCAGTTTAGGTCCAATGAAAATCTAAATTCAAGATAAATTTGATCTTAATCAGTAATTTCTCTAATACTATGCAATTTTGATCTTAATCAGCAATTCCTCTAATACTATGCAAACTTTCCATATTCCAGTTGTATTATTTTAGCTTCAGAAGCTGATCTTAACTTTAATTCTTGCTTTGATTTTTATTTCCTTTTCTCTAGTATAAAAATGTAAAAAAAAAAAAAAAAAGGACCCCTCACCCCCCCAAATTTGCATCACAAAGACATATCTAGACGCAGAATGGAACAGGTCTGCCACAGCAGATTTCTGTGGTAAGCAGAGAAAAAGATGATAAGCACTGATTTGTAATTGCATGATCCTGTTTATGGTCTAAAATCAAGATATGTTCTTCCACAATACTCCAAACCTGARAGAAGAAACCCACTTCTGGCTGATACGAGAAGAAAATGTAGAAACTCTTCAGCCGAGGACACAGAGCCAAGGCACCAAGGTGCCAGCAAGCACAGGAAGAACCTGGGTCTCCTCAGTCTTGTCCCACTCGACACAAACGATTTCGCTACAGACACTCATTGCTAGAGGACTGAGTTCTCTAGACCATCTCAGCTAAAACCCTAATGACACATCTAATCTTAAACTTATGAGCCATGCCCAAGAAGGTCAATTAATTTCAGTTAAGAACATCTCCAGCAGGCCTTGGTGAAGGTGCTCAGCTGAAATGGAGATCAAGCTGCTGGGCAGCATCTCAACTCTGACACCATCACATAAAACTGCATGTCTGGGTACTGTTTCCACCCAATTTTGAACTTAAAACTACTTGGTGGCAACATTACTGCTATCAGGCCAGTGCTTATAGCTCAGCAACACTACAGTCACACCCTCAGCATTTTTCAGACTAAGTGACTACCTCATCTATTTTTCTTGTTTTTACAATTTACATTATTTATGTGTTATTAGATGTGCTTGGCTGGTGCAGAAATTACTCCAGCTCTTGGCCCCAATTGTAAATGAGATGTTGTTTCTCAGATGGCATTCATAAAAATACACAAAATGGACTGCCAAGGGTTAGGATTTTTATCTTGGATGAGATGAAAGACCTGATAACTCAAGAACAGCAAAACTGCAGAGTGAGATCCATTACTCTCATACTTGTAAAAACAATAACTAAAGAATCGACTCAGGGCAATTCCAAGCAGAGAATAAAATAAAATAAAATGCCTTCTCAATAGCAGCTCAATCTCACAGACCTTTTTCTCTTAAAGTGGTCCCCCAAATGACTCCACACAAATGTTAGTTATTACTACATCTATTTGAATCACTGCCAATTAACAAGAGCTAGAAAAGTAGCTTGTGTGTGCAACTGAATTGTATAAATGCATATTCATGGAATACATACATGAACATAATACATAGCAGACTAATATATTACTGT